TGAAATAAGAATAGAAGGGGAGTTGATCCAGCAAGTAGATGAGTTTGTTTATTTGGGCTGCGTATTTAGCAGGGATGGGAGATATGATAAGGATATAGAACGACGAGTGAATGCGGGAAATAGAGTAAATGGGGCCTTGCACTCTATTGTGAAGAGTCAAAATGTGCCAAAAAGGCATGTATGGCAATTCACAATGCTGTGTTGGTCCCTACTTTAACGTATGGTAGTGAAAGTTGGGTGTGGCAGAAGAAGCACGAGAGTAGAATAAACGCAGTAGAAATGCGGTCGTTTAAGGAGTATGTTAGGGCTGAATCTGAATGACAGGGTAAGAAATTGTGTAATAAGAGAAGAGTGTGGTTTGCAAGATGATGTTGTGACCAGGATTAAGAAAGTAATGCTTCGGTGTTTTGGTCATGTGGAAAGAATAAATGAGGAAAGAGTGGCAAAGAAAATTTATGTTGCAGAAGTGAATGGCAGAGTCGGAAAGGGACGTCCTAGGCGAAAATGTATTGACCAAATTGGCGATTTATTGAAAACGGGCCAAATTAGGAGTACCGACGAGCATGTATGCGTAGGTGTATGGATGTGAAGGAGGCGAGAGAGGTGTGTCAGGATCGTGCCAAATGGAAGTCTGTAGTCTCTGCCTACCCCTCTGGGTGACAGGTGTGAGTTTCAGACATCATCATCATCATCATTACAGCCCTTCACAAGTCCACTGCTGAACATAGGCCTCCCCCAAGTAATGCCACAAAGCACGGTCCTGAGCCACCTGCATCCATCGACTTCCTGCATGTCTTACCAGGTCGTCACTCCATCTAGTGGGGGGTCGCCCTACACTACGCCTACCGGTACGAGGCTGCCACTCGAGAACCTTTCTTCCCCATCGGTTATCGGTTCTTCGAGCTATATGGCCGGCCCATTGCCACTTCAGCTTACTAATCCGTTGGGCTATGTCGATCACTCTGGTTTTACTGCGGATATCCTCATTTCTGAGTCTATCACGCAGAGAAACTCCAAGCATAGCCCTCTCCATAGCTCGCTGAGCGACCTTAAGCGTCCTCATTCGGCCAGCAGTGAAGGACCACGTCTCAGATCCGTAAGTCATCACTGGCAACACGCACTGGTTGTACAATCTAGTTTTTAGAGATTGAGGTATACCTGACGAAAAGATATGTCGTAATTTCCCGAACGCTGCCCAGCCGAGTTGAATCCGTCGATTGACCTCTCGGTCGAAGTTGGACTTACCTAGTCGGACTATTTGTCCCAGGTAAACGTACTCGTCAACAACTTCGAGCATAGTGCTCCCAACAACTACCGGCATAGGTGTGACATGGACATTAAACATGATCTTTGTTTTGTCCATGTTCATCTTAAGACCTATCCGTTGGGAGGCACTATTGAGGTCATTGAGCATAATGCTTAAGTCCTCCAGCGATTCTGCCATAATGACTATATCGTCGGCAAATCGAAGGTGAGTGATGTACTCGCCATTGATGTTAATACCGTATCCTTTCCAGTCCAGTAGCTTGAAAACGTCTTCCAACGCAGCGGTGAAGAGTTTCGGGGATATAACATCACCCTGTCTTACACCTCTCTGCAGTTGGATAGGTTTCGAACTCTGGTTCTGTACTCGGATAGCCATCGTAGCCCTACTGTACAAACACTTCAGCACTTCGATGTACCGACAGTCAACTTGGCACCGCTGAAGGGACTGTAGCACCGCCCAAATTTCGACGGAATCAAAGGCTTTCTCATAGTCCACATATGCCAGGCAAAGTGGCAGATTGTACTCTTCGGTCTTCTGTACAATCTGCCGCAGGGTATGTATGTGGTCTATGGTACTGAAGCCTTTTCGGAAACCGGCTTGTTCGGGAGGCTGGAAGTCGTCGAGTCTGCGTGCGAGACGATTCGTAATGACTCTCGAAAATAGCATGTAGACGCGGCTCAGAAGGGAAATCGGTCTGTAGTTCTTCAAGAGAGCGTTGTCGCCTTTCTTAAAGAACAAAACCACCGCGCTTCTGCTCCACGCCTCCGGAGTAGTGCCACCATGGAGGACGGAATTGAAGAGCTTCCGAAGGACTTCAAGTACCGGTTTTCCACCCGCTTTCAGAAGCTCCGCTGTAATTCCATCCTCGCCCGGGGCCTTGCCGTTTTTAAGGTGGTGGAGAGCCATTCTAATCTCGCTCAGACTGACGTCCGGGATATCATCGGAATAGTGTCGGATAAGACTTGCTCTTGGATCGTTACTCACACTTACGTGTGGCTCCAACGATGATGTGTACAGCTGCCCATAGAACCTCTCAATCTCACTCAAAATCTCAGGTGTCCCGGAAACGATGTTGCCACACTCAGTCTGCAGCTTTGACAGTTGGCTCTTTCTGGCAGACAGATCTCTGGCAAAGACTTTGGAGCCCTGGTTCCGCTCGATCGCTTCTTTAATACGAGAAGTATTAAAGTTGCGTAAGTCTCGCCGCATGCATTTGAGATCTGTCTGTTCAGTTGCCTGTATGCTGTCAAATCTGTTGATGACGAGATTAAGAGTGTGATCGGAGAGTTTTTGTGTTCTTCTGCGGCGGGTCTTGCAGAACTTAGCTCCGACCGCATGGACAGTTTCCACGAGCTTGTCGTTCATATCGTCCACTGCATTGCAATCTTCTAGGCACTGGAAGCGGTTACGTAACTCGAGCTGAAAGGTTTCGGGATTCTGGATTAGAGCACGAGGGGGACGGAGCGTTGACTTCATTAGACGAGACCTCTCCAACTTAACGTTTAGGTTCAGTGTGCCTCTAACCATTCGGTGATCGCTGCCAGTTTTCACCCTTGCGATCACTGAGACATCACTGAACAGTTGGCGTCTGGTCGTCATAATGAAGTCAATCTCATTTTTTGTCGAACCGTCGGGGCTCGACCAGGTCCACTTCCTGTGGGGCCGCTTCTGGAAGAAAGAGTTCATCATAAAGAGTCCCTCTTTCTCCATAAAGTCGGCCAGCTGCTGGCCCCTTCGGTTCCGTTGCCCTACTCCAAATTTCCCTACCTTCAGCTCACCGCTTTCTCTTGTGCCTAGTTTTGCGTTGAAGTCTCCCATCAACACCGTGTAGTGGGTTTTGGAGGAATGTATGGCTCTGGAAATATCCTCATACATTTCCTCCACCTCCTCATCGGGATGTGCCGAGGTTGGTGCGTAAACCTGAATGACCTTCAGCGAATACCGTTTGGTGATTCTGAGTATCAGGTACGCGACCCTCGTCGACACACTCCCAATCTTTACAACGTTGTTGACGAGAGACTTGTGGACGATAAATCCGACACCTCCTTGGGACAGATGGTCGCCCTCCCGGTGATAGAACAAGTTGCCGGACTCGAGGATTGCCGTGTCCTCCCCCTCTCTTCGGACCTCGGATAATCCAATAATATGCCAGCGCAACTTGTCTACCTCTTCTTCCAGCTCTAGTATCTTCTCGTCAGTCCTCAGGGTGCGTGCGTTATATGTTGCCAGGTCGACATCACTAAAATTAAAATTACAATTTATATTTATTAATATGTGCTTTTTTATTTTTAATAGTAAAGGTGTAAGCTACTAAAATAAAATTAACTGCTAAACTAGAAATAAATAAATTCAACTGCTAAACTAAATAAGGCAGAGCTGAAGTAGCTCTGCCGTATTTAGTTTAGCAGTTGAATTTTTCCCAGCTAATCTAATTTGAACAATTTAAGGTCTAAAGATTTAAAGATTAGCCAGTCAACTATGGAAAAACTCGAAACCGTGAATGCACCGGACCTAAAAGAATCTTCAGTAAGCAGTAAGTTGCTCAGAAAGACTTGTCCTTTTATACACCTCTACGTTGAACCTTATGAATATGTGTCCACAATATTTAGATAAAGCGCTAAAATTATACACCCTACTCTCAGACAGTGTTTATAATTAGACGGTGAAAAACGCCCGGGTTCCCTTGACACGCATTCGAGTACAAATGCGACTTTGATTTACGACTCTGAGTGCAACTTCAGCTGTAATGTTTGCGTTTATGTTTTATGGGACTTCATTTTTTAATTACGTAAAAGATGTAAATGCCTCGTGTAAGAACACAATTCTTACAAATAAATAAAATGGAAGCGTCTCTTTGTAATGTCAAAATTCGTAAGTAAAACTACGATGCCATCAAAAACATAACCTGTAAAAAAAACAAGTCTCGCAACTCAGTTCTTTCAACGTAAAAAGTTGTGAGATCCATGTAAGTACCAATACCAAGTCGGTTAATTTATTCAGTTCCTACTTAAGGGTCCTTCTGTTTTAAGTTATTACGTAATTAGCTAACCTAACGACGTTTTATAGTGACCATATCAATTATCAATGTTAAAAATCTTTTATGTTTCAAATAAATAGATTGACTTGGCCGTCGCATGAAAACACAATGTATCTCACAAGTAATACATATTAGTTATATTAAATTAGAATGTTTGGTGCGATTGCCAAGTCAATCTTGTATATATTTAAAACTAAATACTACTGAAGGATCCAAATTAGTGGACTCAGTAAAGTCCAATGCGAAATTCATGTGGCAACCTAAAAATTAAGTTTACTTAAATTTGTTATGTGTCAACAATGTTAATTCATTTTTTGTAGACTATTCATTTAAAAAATAAAGTTTTTATTTTAGGTTTTTATTTTTAACATTTATTTCTCTCTCCCGACAAAAACCCCAAAATCCCGACATTTTTGAAATTTTGTCCGGATATTTTAGTCTTTCGATCTACATTCCTAAGGAGAAAGATTTCGATAATCTTACCGACTTACAATATGGGAGTGACAACCTGGTAAGAGATGCAGGAAGATGGATGCAGGTGGCTCAGGATCATGATATGTGGCTTCCCTTGTAGGAGGCCAATGTTCAGCAGTGGACTTGTGAAGAGCTGTAATGATAATGATGACGAAGTGATATAGAATTCCCGCCAGACATATTAAAATTACGTATTATAATTGTAGATTTTTGTTGTTTCAGGACGATTTCCTTCTCCGACACTACGACAAAGGGCCGTGTAAAAACAAGTTGGGTCATTCACGGGCTTCAGTGCTTTGGCATCGTGCTCAGGTAATTATCAAAATTGTGCTATTGTTCTTAGTATCTTCCAAACAGTCCACCTCTGATCATGAGCTTCCCTCATGGTAAGGAAGATTTGCCGTGATAGACAACCAGATGTAATGCACCTTTGAGTGGCTACTTCAAACCACTTCCGCCAATTTAAAAAGAAAAAGACTATACATACAATGTTTCACAGTTTTAAATTAAAATGTATTTAGTTATTAAATTTGCGATATAAATTGATAAGAGGGAATGAACCTTTGGATTTTCGAATACATCACGTATTGATGAAATTTATTTGTTTAAAAAATATATTTTTTTTAAATTTATCAGATGTAGTGCCACGCTGCAGACTGCAGTGTTACCGTGAGTTTGCACTGACGCGATTTCACAAAAAAAAAACATGTTTTAAACACTGTTTTCTGTCAATGTATCAAAAAGCGTTTGCATTGTCAAAGAACATGTTGTAGTAAAATATGTTTGACAGTTTATTGTACATTACATATTTAACTATAGATATTATATCTTTATAAATACAGAAACAAAATGTTTAAAAACAAATTTGTAGAAATATTGTCATGTTGAAAGATAAGTTCTGTGAACAGAGAATCTGTTGAAAATTTTAAACAGTTTTTGTGAGTGCGAACGCCACCATCAAAAAAATATGTTGTGTGATTTATTTAATACGATTTGTTTCAAAACATTACGTGTAGGATGTTTCTCAGTGCAAGCGTACTGTTACGCGGTAGATGCTGCAGCTATGTTTGTAGCACGAATCGGTAGGCTCGAACAAGTAAGGATCACGCTCTCGCGGAATACCACCGTAAAATAGCAGTTTATTTCTGCTGTGTTTTGTGTGGTGAACGTAGAGAACCAGAGACCCTTTCTACTGGAAACGAAGCATTCCAGCTTAGTCTTCAACGCATCTGCATTTTGATTCTTAATCGGGGTTAGATATAGATGTTCGTTGTTCACAGCATCCACTTACCATCAGGTGAACTGTGTGTCAGTTTGTCACCCTTTTTTATAAAAAAAAATATATTACGGTTGCAGCACGAAAGGGTCGGCTCGTCCGGGGTAGGACCACGCTCTCACGGCATGCCAGCGTGAAGTAGCAGCTTAATATTGCTTTGTTGGGTATGGTGAGTGTATATGTAGAGAACAGGAGACACTCTTTACTTTATACTAGTACCTAGGCCTTCTATCTTAGTAGGATGACAAGTGACAATGCATATTTATACATTTTGATTCTTAATCGAAGGCCATCAGGTGAACTGTTTGCTTTTTGTCGCCTTTATTCTATAAAAAAAATACAATACTGATCCCTAGTTCGAACCAGCGGCCTCATGATCGCGGTTACGACCACTAGATCAACGGGTACTTAGTTTATTATTCGATATTTGCAGGTGGTGGGCATCTTTGCCGGCTTCGGTCTTCTCCTGCTGGTGGCCAGCCCGCTGCTACTGCTTGCCGCTCCATGTATTGTCTGCTGCAAATGCAGGTAACTTTCTAGTATTTTCTTTATCTTATTTTAGACTAGCTGTTCCCCGAGACTTCGCCCGCGTAGAATTTATTACGATTGGATTTCATGGGTTTGAATTTTTTGTGCGGGAACCTTCGTTCTTTTTCGAAAACAAAACTAGCCTTCGTTTATAATTACGATTATAACATATCTGTCGGGGAAAGTCCCGTCAAAATCGGTCCAGCCATTTCGAGGATTACCCGCAACATACAGGCAGACAGACAAACATTTAATTTTTTGTTATTAGTACGGTATATACTTCATGCATTTAATAAAAAATATATATACTTCATGCATTTTTGTGAGCCGTGGTAGCTCAGATGGTTAACGCTCGCTGTAAATATAACAAAACGCGAGTAACCCGGGTTCGAACCCCGGCGACACCAGTGAAATTATTAATTGCAATTTTGAGTGCTGATTTACCATGTGCTCGGCGGTGAAGGAAAACATCGTGAGGAAACCTGCATGTCTGAGGAATAAGAAAAAAAAATATTTCGAAGACATGTGAAGTTCGCCAACACGCATTGGGGCAGCGCGGCGGACACTTCCTTACCCTAAAACCCTCTCAGAAACGAGGGGAGGCCTGTGCCCAGCAGTTGGACGTATATAGGCTGTAACTTTACTTTTATTTAGTAAAAAAGTTATTATTTTGACATTACAAACAGACATTTCAATTTTGTTTATTTGTGTATAGATTTGTTATTTAAAATACTACTACTATTTGATATTTAAAAAACTATAATAGTAAACAATAATTAATAATTAAAAAACCAAAATAAAAATATACCGGCCCTCTGAAGATTTATTTGTATTATATATGTTATCTCAAAAATAAAAATCCTTAAATAATCTGTGTGCCTTTGAAAGCTTAATTTACATTCTTTATCTTATATACTTATTGTAAAATTTTAAAAACCCCCGAAAGAAAAGGAGTTGATGATCTTCTAACGGTTGAACATCTTTTCTTGAAACATATAGTTGACGCCACGAGTCGTGAGCACAGATGAACTATATGGTGGGGGTTGAGCCAGCGTAGGTACACTGTCGGCCAAAATTATATGGTAGCTTTGTTATTCCAATTCGTAATTGAATATTTTCGCTGACTTTTTTTCGAAATTCTGAGTCGTTAACTCCTTAAAATACACGCCGTACAGTAGCTACGTAGACATTAGTCGCCTCAGCAGTCTGTTTCTAAACGTCTATCATGTTTTTTGCAATACCTAATTTTTTCATGTAACAAAACACTAAATAGACCATTTGTCGGGATTGTTTATTTAACGCCGAATTCTTTCTTCTCTGCTTATTTAGACCAAAATCTGAATGCTCAAATTAGGATTAAAAAATTAACAACAATAAATACGAGGGCGGCACTGAAAATTTCGGGAATCGGGGAAGTGACACAACATTACTATTTAAAAATGTAGTTATTGCTTTTCGAAGTATTCTCCGCAAAATTTGACACATTTTTCCATACGATGGAACCAATCATTGAAGCAACCATTCCATTCGGAAGTTGGGGTCTCCAAAATGGCCGTTTTGTAGGCGTCCACAGCTTCTTCAGGTGATGAAAATCTCTGTCCACGCAATTTATTCTTTATTTTAGGGAAAGTATAGAAATCATTAGGGCTTAGGTCGGGGCTGTACGCGGACGGTCTAATAATTCTATGTTTTCTTGCTCTAAAAACTCTTTTTCTGTGTGCGGTGTGAGAACTCGCATTGTCGTGATGGAGGATGATGCGGCGGTTGCAGTTCTCTTTACGGAGATCAGAAACGACCTGTGGCAAACAAATGCTAGCATACCATTCTGCATTAATCGTTCTTCGTCCCTCAAGAGGAATAGTCGTAACACGGCCAGTTTAGGAGACAAACGTGGCCACCATTTTTTTTGCAACACTCCGTGAACGAACAATTTTTGTTGGCTTTAACTCATTTTCGAACACCCAAACTCGTGACTGGTTTTTTGTTTCGGGTTCGTACGCGTATATCCAGGATTCGTCACCTGATACGATGTTGTATACAGCATTTGAGGATCCTGCGTGGAATCTTTCGAGAGTTCTGACGCACCAAGTAACGCGACCCGCTTTTTGCTCTTCACAGAGCGAATGCGGTATCCATCGGGAAAACAACTTTTTTACACCTAATTGTTCATGCAAGATTATTTGTATTTGACTCATGCCAATGTCTAGCCTGAATTTCGCGGTATGTCACGCGGTATGGACGACCTTGACGGGGATCATCACTGAGCTTGACACGTCCACGTTGAAATTCAGCAAACCAGCGATAAATTGTGGTTTTGGATGGGGCTTCATCACCAAATGCAGAAATCATCCGGTCAACACACTGTTTTTGTGTTAAACCATTTCGAAAGTCATAATAAATCATCGCTCTTGAATTTTCTCGAGTCAATTCCATTTTCTCAACGACTAAACAAGTTTGACAAAACCTTGTGACAAGACCGAGAATCTTTTTTAAATAAATAAATGGTATTCGATTTTTAAAACCAAGGAGTTTTCAATTAAAAAGATTTTAATATGACAGGAACAGTGGAAATATTCCATTCCCGATACTTTTAGTGCAGCCCTCGTATCAAAAACAGCTGAAAACAAGAAATACACAAACAACAATTGACAACGAGGTAACACTACATTTAACAAAAATAAACTATTTAAAAACTTGTCACTAAAATTGCTCTCAAGTGTACAGTAGTCGAATGATACGTGCGAACCCAATAGACGACGAGAATCATCTGACGAACCAATCACGTATAGCGTCAGCGTTGTCAATGTCATATCGACCAATAAAAAGTGTGCTCACGACTCGTGCCGGCAATTATAGCTAAGCACACTTGATTAAGACACCTTTCAAACGAAAAAAAACGTAATCGAAATTGGTTGATCCGTTCAGGAGCTATGATGCCACTGATTTTTTTTTGCGCCCGAAGCAAGTAAAGGGCTACACTATATGTAGGGAGGCGGAAAATGCATTACGCATACCACGATAGCCGGTCTATCGTGGTTATGAGGGACTCACTGCCTACCGGGGGGAACCTAAGTGTTACCCTCTAAAAACCGCCTTTAGGGACTGGCAACTGGCTGTTTAAGCTTTCTTATGCCGTATCGGGAGCGACCCTCTTTTGGGAAAGGAGGGCGCAGACGCCACTGATGGAGACACGAGTACACAAATACACACTACCAACATAAAACAACCATCTGTTCTTGTCCGGGTTATAAACTAATGTCATCCATAAAATCCACACCATAAAATAATGAGTGACGTCTCAACGTGTAAATCTATAATATAACCATTTAACATCACATTATTACTTTATTTTTCAGGCTGTGCAATCCGAATACGAAAAATTTAGAAGAGGTGGACGAAATCGAAAGCATCAGTCCCGGCCGAGAGGAAGAAGGTGACGAAATAACACGCGCTAGATATTTGTCCGACTGACGTAGGCCGAGATATTAAACGACAATGGACTCTGACGAAATGAGATAAGACTCAAATTGAAATGCACGTATTAGGGATAAGAACGTACATATTCATAAATTTGGGACGTGTGAGGCCAACAACAGAAATATTTGGGGTATGTTCCAAAATAGAACCCAGTGTACTGTCCAATGCAAATGACGTCATGAATCGACGCTACACTGGTGATTCGTTCCAAAACATAGGACAGTATATGACGTCATACATTTGCGCCATATTGGAAAAGTGTTGGCGATTATTTTGTCATTTTGTACTCCAAATATCATTATATCCTCCTAATGGAGATACCAGCAATTATTCTATAATTTTTTGTATTTGAATAAATAAAAACAAATTCTGGCATGCTTCGTTCAGCGCACACACAATTAAAAATTGTTTTATTATGGCCGGATATCCGACACAATATGGCGGCGGCACGCCAGTACAATATAGTGTCAATTGATGACGTCATTTGTATTCGGCAGTATACTGAAAACGTTTCGGAACATACCCTTTAATATAAACTACAATAAGTGATTGTGGAAATTTACTTGTTTTGAATTGTTCGTCAAACTAAATTGCTCTGTGTATTTTAGCAGTAAGAGAATAATTATTGATGTGTTTTATCTGTTTAAGAAGTCGTGACTTCTTTTGGTAATAACTTAAACATATTGAGAACTATTTAAATTCCTAAGTCCGCACAAAGAACTGGACTTAGCTGGTACAGGCCGTATATAACTTCAGTGTTATGGTAAAATAAACTTAATGTGGTATCAATACGATTTAATTCGGGGTGACAAATTATGTGTAAAATATTTAAGTAAAACTGCGTATAAGCATCGCAAGCATCTGTTTTATTGTTTAGAGTTTCAAACTTACAAATAACTCGTATTGCAGATTAATTATTAGATAATATGGAATGGATATATATGAATATACTGTTGTTTAAAAAAATTGGACGAATACAAATGATATCGATGCTGTCACCATGCATTTACTATTTCGGGATAAGCATTAAGCATGTAGGCGGCTTTCATTTTCAATTAATTTATTAATGAATAATAATTAATTTACTTTGAAAATCAATGATGGCACGCGGGCTTCCTGCGCCTTTTTAGTCTGTCTACAATTCTATACTTAAAAAAAGATAAAAAAAACTGTTTAGTATGATTTGTTGTGACAATATTATCTTGTATATTACTTGTGTCTAAAATTAAAACAATGAATACTTGCAAACACTTGGACTTCATAGTTGACCTTCATCTGTTTTATTGTATTCATTAAGACTTCGGATAAAATTAAAAAGAAAGTAAAGGTGAAAGTAAATGTGTAAATGCAAAGGATTTTAAATCTTTAAAGAGATTGAAACATCGAAAGGTTACATTGTAGACACGTTGAAAAAATATTTGACTGATATTTTTCTTAAGACTTGAGACTGAAGAGTGGAAAATCGGCAAGTGCCAAGAATGCTTTTTTAGTTTAGTAAAGTTGAGTAAAAGTAATTTAATTTTGATGAACGAATATCTACGTATTTTCAACAATTTCATTTGTTATGTTCAGAGTTAGCTTATTAACGCATCTAAAAAGAAAGGAATGCTTTTAAATAACTTAATATAAGTACTTCATAATTTAGTTATACGAGTGTAAAAAGGAAGAGTTCTGACAGTTAATATTGTATATTTTTATAAAAAACTGTTTGGAGAGTTCAGATTAAATATATTTTTTAGTTTTAATTTTTTTTGTAATGGCAGATAGTAGTAATGAAGTTAGTCCTGATTAAATGAAATGTTTTGTTACTTAAGTTAAACTAAAGTGGCAACCGAAAGAAAAGAGATAAATTAAAAAAACGAATTCATATTAATTTAAAAATCCTATCAATTAAAACAAATATAATTAATTTTATTTATTTTTTACTTAAACACTTTAATTATGGTAACTCTTTATACCACTGTCTGCTTTATTTAATAATTATAGGGGAAAATATTTACGAATATAGTAACTGCAATGCAGTGGGAGTTGAGGTTTTTATTGTATGTTTTTTTTTCAATCACCTGTGATGGCTGAAATAATGTAAAGGTAACGAAATCTTATTACATCGGCTTCTATTGTTTTTAGATATGGACAAGCAAGTCTTAAGCAAGTTATTTATTAGTAGATCATTAATATTTATAATTAATTGTAAATAAGGTTTAATATTGTACTTAATAGATAGGGATTGATGGTGCACTCAACCCTGTATTGTTTAATATTTAATCCTTTGGTATTATTTTTATCTGGTAACATTATTGCTGATGACACTTTCCCGTTAGACTAACTGAAGTTTGTTCTAATGATCTCAAATCGCTTGGTGTAATTTTTTGTTACTATAGTTATAACTTTGCTTGACTTCATTATCGTTATATATTATTATGTTTGCAACATAAAAGGGATAATGTAAAATATTTTATCCTTAAAATGGTTGTTTACAATGGAAATACATTATAATATATAAGAAAAATAAAGAGAAACAAACAGCGTCACGTATTATTGTTACGATATTCCTTGACTCCGAAGTGGCAATGCACTGTCGATCCTGTTTAGCTTGTTGTAGCAAGCTAGTTAAAGCATTTGTAGACTTAATTCAAAAATTGTTAGATGTTTAGACTGTAAGGTAATCTGTATGTCTCCCTTAAGCTGTCATTTTCACGAACGTATATATTCGCACCGTTTACGATGGAATTATATAGAGTTATTTTTATTTTTTGAGTTAGACATGAACTCTGTGACGGTTCCGTAGACCGGAAATTTAAAATTGAATTCATACATAAATATGATTACAAAATGAAATAATTCAACTATTACAATTAATAATGTGACAAGTCTCTATTATGTTATACAGTAATGCCCGTCAATCTGATATCGGGATTGTGTCTAACTTATGAGTCAATGTTGTAAATATGAAAATGGAATTTATTTTTTGTTATTGATTATTTTTTTTTTGTTTATTTTGTGTTTAAATGACATAACTTTCCGTTGCTCTAATTATAAAAACTAAAATAAAGTTTTTTTGGATAAATCACAAGTCTTTTTAACTTTATTACAACACATTCAATCTGTGGTCGTTCAATATGGTATTTTTTTAAAATCGCATAAAAGTTACAGCTTTTGTACATCCCTATGCTGGGCACGTGCCTTCTTTTATTAGCCCCTACAAAAACAGAGGGGTGTTATAAGTTTAATGTGTGTATCATCGTGTCTGACGAACCAATTTTGATTTAGTTGTTATTGGTGGGAAGGTGTGATCTAGTGTTCTTAGCTATGACTCAAGAAAATCTTTCGAGGCATTTGAAGATCATTAGCTCTTTTTTTAATTTAGGGATTTTAAAATTTTTAAATTTATGATTATTTCTGAAAGGGTTATTATGGTTAGTGGAGCATTAGTAGTAATTAGTGGTGTCAGTTTCCATTCAGCTCGTTATATTTTGTTACTCAAACATACCGGTTTCCTCTCGGTATTTCCTTTACCGTCGAACACATTATAAATCAGAACTTAGTTGAAACTGCTAACTGGTAGAGCCATGCTGCAGTTATATTAGTAGTATAGTTGTAGCACGAATGGGTCGGCTCGACCGGGGAATCGCTCTCACAGAATACCAGCGTGAAATAGTAGCTTAATGCTGCTGTATTTCGTATGGTGAGTGTAGAGAACCGGAGACCCTTTTTACTGGAAACGAGGCATTCCATCTTAGTCCTCACGGGTGACAACGCATCTGCATTTTGATTCGTAGAGGATAGATGTAGATGCCTATGAGCCACAGCAACCACTTACCATCAGGTGGACTGTGTGCTCGTTTGTCACCCTATCCTATAAAAAAAAAACTGATAAAGTTACATCTATACATAATGTAATAGAAATGTAAATTGCAGATGTCTGTACATTTTATATTTTTGTAATAAAAGTGATACAAAAATATAAAATAAGGCCTAAAAATATTAAATAAATACATTTCTATCATTTTTAGAATGGTCTGTCTGTCTGTTTGTTTGTTAACGTATCACGTATAAAGTACTAATTTATATCAAAATAATCAGTAAGGAAATTATAAAGCGTATTTTTGGTTCATTTTAGTCTTTGTTTCATTAAAATCGGTTCACTCTATCAAAAGTTATGATTAAAATTCTAAAGTATGGGTACGAATTTGTTCAATGGCGGCATTGAGGTATAAATCATAATTAATGATGTAAAATAATTTTCCATAACGATATAATTATATCTGAAACTCAGTAATCAAAAATAAGAAAGAGTAGCGTAATAAATATAATCAACAAAATAGATGATAATTAACCTTATTATCTAAAGTACAATAGTTAGTTAACCAATATCATCGATAGATGGTGGTGCTGTAATACACAAAGGCAGGTTGTGTTTTTCTTTTTGTAAATGTGTCTTTCTTTGAGTATTCAACCAACTTTGGTTTAATACTCAGATGAAAATAATATAATATGATAAAAGTCTTCATATTTGCTACAAATTTTTAAATTACTCGCTGCCCTACTGCGTGTTGACAAACTAATTTACCTATTTATAAAATTTTGAGGTTTGCTTAAAATGTTTTTCTTTACCGCTGAGTAACCTAAATGATTTGATGTTTTAAACGGCGTCACTTAAAATGAGGTGTATTATTTGACGGATTTTTATAGTGGGGAAGTTAATTTGTTCGAAAATTGTAAAGGCTAATGTTTCTTTCTGTACTATTAGTTCTATTTTGTATTAAGGTGACTCTAGTCGACATTATTTCCATAGAAATTTCGGAGGGGTTTTACTCCGCTGTTTGACAGTGTACATCCAAAGTTAAACATGATATCGTTTTGTCTCATTGTTAATTTTGTCTGTACCGAAACAGAACAGTAAAATAAAAAGTCAGTAAAAAGTTACGAGCTACCAAAGATTCGTTTTTATTGCCAATTTTAACACAACTTTGGGCGTAAATTAGTAATAAAAG